GGCAGCCGCCGGCAGCCACACGGAGCTTGGGCCACTCCCCTCGCACCGGTGAAGGCGCTGCTGTGGGCAGCGTGGGACAGGCACAGCACGGTGGGGACAGCCCACCCCTGCCTCTGGACCCCTTTCCCGGGTCCCCTCCCACACTCCTTCCTCCAGAGCAGTGCCGAGAGCCCCCACCCGCTGTTGCCCTCAGACGGCCTCTGGTCCCCTCCCGTCCCCCCTTCCCAAACTGGGTGCGACAGGCTGGAGGAGGAAGGGACTCAGAGCCAGGCTGGGGTGGGAAACGAGGGGGAGGAGTGGCTTCTTGATTCCCCCGGGGGTCAGGGGGTCCGCCCCGGCCCCCAGCTGGCACGGCCAAGGCCAGGGGCCAAGGCAAGGCCCTGTTCCCCCCCGCACCACCCGATGCCACGTGTAATCCACACCTGTGCAGTGGCTGCCAGGCCCGGGAGAGCAGGAGAGCCCTGCAGCGAGGCTGTGCGTGCCTCTGCTTTGCAGGGTGGGACAGCTGCATCTCCCTGATGGACCCCTTCGCCGCCGAGAGCCTGGACGTCTCCGCCTCAGTGCAGCGCCTCCTCTGTGAGTCCTGGCACAGTCACCCAGTCCTTTAGTCCCGGGGCGAGGCTGGGCCCATGACTGCCCTCGTCCTGGCCCCACAGACCTGCAGCCAGCAGACCCTGCCTTGCCCTGAAGACATTTCCGTACAGATTTGAAAGCTCCCCTCCACCAGCCGCGGCCCCATGCTCTTGCGGTGGTTCCTGACCACAGATGCCCAACTCCCAGCCTGTCCTGTGCCCCTTTGGGATCTCCTTTATGTTCCAAACGGGTCTACCTGGTGGGCATCTCCCATGTGGTGGGTTAGAGAGCGCCTGTCTGCTGCCCAGAGAAGCCAGGGAGGTGGGGGAGGGTGCTGGGAAGCCTCTTCACCCTGGGCCTCGGGAAGCCTGTGCCAGGACAAGGGATGGCCCCTGGGAGGGTCGAGTGGTTACCATGGAGATGGGCATCAGGAGGCAGATGGCCCAGCTCCTCCTCCACCCAAGGCCACGGCGGCCTGTGTGTCCTGTGAAGGTGACCTCCAGGCAGACAGGGCTCTGAAGGCAGGTCTGGGTGCCCTGGGTGCCCCGGCACCCTCTCCTACAGCACTGCATCGAGCTGTCGTGGTGGTCCTGCCCCTGAGCCTCATCCTTGTGGTGTGCGGCTGGGTCTGCGGCCTCCTCAGCTCCCTGGCCCAGAGCGTCCCTCTGCTACTTTTTGCGGGCTGCTACTTCTTGCTGGGGGGTGAGTCTGGTGGCCGTGGGCGCTGCAGGTCCTGGGAGCGGGGTACCAACTCTCCTGTAGCCTGTGCCCTGCTCCCCTCTGTGCTGTGCCAAGCCTGAACCCACCCAGGGGTTGAGCTGCAGCAGGCAAAGTCAGCCTGGGTGGCGGGGTGGGGGTGTCCCAGGGTTGAGCTTTGACAGCGGAGGCACGAGGCTCTCCCAGGGGAGTCCAGTACCCGTCTGCCCTGCTAGGCCTGTGCCTGGAACCAAGAAACCGCAGCAGTTCGCTCGCTCACGACAAAGGTGCCAGCCAGCGGCGGGGGAGTGTTCTGGAGGCACCAATAGGGACAGGACCCTGCTCTGAGGAACCCAAGGCAGGCCACGGGCCTGGCTGGAAGCCCCCAGCCCTCCCCACACTCAGGGTCTGGTCCGGCTGCCCACTGCTCTCCTCGCGTGGGGGGTTATCCATGAAGTCTTACTGACATCAGAGCCTGCGCAGGTGGCCAGATGAAACCGGGGCTGGAAGACACCCAACTCTGGGGCTCTGAGACAGGAGCATCCCACCACGGGGACCTACAGGAGGCCACTGGCCCCATCAGCACTGCAAGAAGGGGGGGGGACAGATTGTTCTGGGGTGACACTGGGTCAATGGCTGTCCTTTCCTGAGATGGGAGCGTGGGTGGCCCAGGCTGGAGTGACAAGTTCTACTGTGATTGCCTAGCTCCAGGCTCTGGTATCAGCCAGGGGACCTGGGTGTGAGGTCCAGCGTGGGAGCCTCCCCTGAGCAGCAGGTTCTGTGCTCAGCTCAGCTGGACAGAGCAGCCGGCTGCTGGGAGACAGCTCGGCGGGGGTGGGGTGGGGGGCAGCCTGAAGGGGAGGAGGCCCGACTGCTGCAGGCTGAGACGCACCTGTTTCTGGAGCCCCAGCCCTGTGAGAGCACCTGTCTGCCAGCCCCACTGCTGGGCACTGATGTCCCAGGGCCACTGAAATCCACTGGCTTCACATCCTCCCCCAGATTAAATCCCTAACTTCTGCCCACCCAGCCCTGGCTCAGTCCCCTTCCCATCTTCAGTCATGTGGGGAATCACAGAGGCTCAGGATCAGGCAATTAGAGGACCCTGGGGCTCTGCAGGTCAGCTCTGGCCAGCCTCCTGCCCTCAGTGGGGCAGTGTCCAAGGGAACAATGTGTTCCCAGGAAAGTGCCAGGAGGCTCAGCCCACCCGTCCCGCCCAGATTTCCCACAGTTGG